GATGGCTTCAGAATTACCATCCACTTCCCTTTTGTGGGTGGGTAGCCCTTGGATATCTTCTAAGGTTTTCCCTTCCTTCTGCAGAAAAGTGAGTAACTTTCCCTCAAAGTCATCTGGCTGAGGTTCAATGTAGTACACTGCTTTCCAGCCACTGCCACCACTTATTGGCATTATCTCAGGAGGGATTTTCATGGGGTTTATCTCCTCACGACACTCACACAACACCATTAATGATTGTAGTTGAGAGTTAAACATTTTTCCCTTAACTACTACTTTTCCCAAAGCTTTGATAGTCCCTGCTGTTTCTTCTATTTCATCTCTTGAAACTCCTTCTGGTACCCCATACAATAATAGGGCATGTTTCAAATCTATTGATTCTCCTTTGCACCAGTTGACCAACTCAAGTTGTGATGGTCTGCTCATTGGGTGTGTCATTATTGCTATCTGGTTTTTTATTATTTTTTATATTTTGTGGTTGCACGTTTTACTACAGTAGCTTTTAAACAGTTGTGGGGTCAACCTATGTTTTCCTTGGTCCAAAATTAAATTTAGTTTCCTTTAGTTAAAAATCCCAGCGGTGCCTCCATTTATGTAACCCTGGTCCCACATAGCTATGGTAAAGCTAGAGTATATAGTACAATGAGACTGAGCCTAGGTTCGTAGTGCTATAAATAATGGTATCCGATACCCTCTAAAATTAGTTAATAAGGACCACCACACTGTATGTTACCCAAATTCAAATCTCTCACTGGGTATTTATTTAAACAACACAGAAACAAATAAATTCAACACTTACTTTTATAAAATGAAATGAATTGAATTTAAATAAACAAACAAAAACCACAGTGAAGGTGACGGCATGGGTTATAATAAAAGATTTTCAAAAATAAAAGATTTTCAAACAAAATATAGCTTTCTTAGGTGCCTAATGTTATTTCGGTTACAACCGTTCACACATTTAAAAGAAAACGAATTTCAACCTTTTTAAATACCTTTGATGACAAATACACACTTACAATTTCATCATACTTGTAACAGTGGGCCCACACTCTCACACACACCTTTACCCCATCCAAACTACACCTATAGCACAGTGCTTGTTGCAGGCCTGATTCGAAGCTCGGGTGCGTTGAGGCCTAAAACTGATGGCCGCTTCACTCCAATGGAGCAATAAACAAAAATGCGTGCACGTTAGTTCCAGTTAGTACTCACGAGTCCAATGAGTCAGTTAGTGGGCAAATCAGAAACTGGCCGTTAGGAGCTTGTTCAACCGTAGCGATGACAAATCAAGGGCCAGAAAACAGCAGGGTCCATCCAGGCAGAAACCTCTCTCTCCCTCGACTTTCAGAGTGTCCTTCAGCTTCTCTTGCAGATCACAAATAAGTCATATCCGGACCACGGGTAGTCGACCTCAGTGATATACTTAGATGCAAACATCCACACCACGTTCGCATTACCACATCTCTCTCTTCGGACTTAACGTCTGTCCGCTCTGCCGATTCACACAACGTCTGTCCGCTCTGCCGATTCACACAAACTTCACTACTAGTAGTCCCGCCCCCATAACAGAGAAGAGTGACATTGATTGGCTCGTCAGCTCAACAACCAATGGCAATACAACATTAAAATAACTGACAACTTAGGTTACACTTAAACATATTGCTTATGCACAGTAAATGAACTCTAAATCATGAAAACCTTTTATTTCTTGGACTCTAACTGTAAATGAAATACATGGGTTCCCAAACATATGATTTTTAAACCTTTTATCACGTATTTTTATTTTCACCCATCTTTTTTTTATTATTATTTTTAGAACTGTTAACTTTTCTTTTTCTTTATACTGCAAACCTGAATAATTGCAGACAGGGCTACATATATATATATATGTATATGTATGTATATGTATATGTATATATATATATATATATATATATATATATATATATATATATATATATATATATGTGTGTATATGTATATATATATGTGTGTATATGTATATATATATGTGTGTACATGTATATATATATGTGTGTATATATATATATATATATGTATATGTATATATATATATATATATATATATATATGTATATGTATATACGTGTGTGTGTACGTATGTATATGTATATACGTGTGTGTGTACGTATGTATATGTATATACGTGTGTGTGTACGTATGTATATGTATATACGTGTGTGTGTGTACGTATGTATATGTATATACGTGTGTGTGTGTACGTATGTATATGTATATACGTGTGTGTGTACGTATGTATATGTATATACGTGTGTGTATAGGTACCGTAAATCCTCTAATACAGGCCCGGGCCTGTATTTGACTCAAGCTCATCAAGCTCCAGGCCTTTATTGGAAGGAGGGCCAGTATTAGAGGCAGGCCTCTATTTCTATTTGAGCAAAATGAACTAATGGTTCGCTGGAGTTTTTGACAATTAAAAGTGCGCCCACATTTTCAAAGTTAAACACATTTCTTTTAACAACGGTAGTTCCTGCTTCAGCCCTCTCCCCCCTCCCCCTGCGCAGCGGCGCAAACTCACTGATGTGCCTGCAGCCTCTCCGAGTTCCTGCTGCTCTAAACATTAAAATAATTATTTCATTTTCTGTTCCTCACTTCTGATGACCTTCAATGGTGTCTGTTTGTTGCAACAGCAGGTACAAAAACTAACTTGTTTTTATTTGACTATTTTTCTGTCCTGTCTGTTTATTATCTTCCTGCATCTCCTCTCAATCCTAAAGAAAAACTGCTACCTGGGTTCATATTTATTCACCTCATGAGTTACCTTTGAACTGCAGTTCTAAAAGATCTACCGACCGCAAAAACAGCGGAGCGCTCGCTGTTTGGCGGCTGTATCAGTGATCAGTGCGTCGGAGGACAAGGTGATGCGCGCAGCGCCCCGCTCCACAGCATGCAGCGAAACACATCAGGCGCAAATAAAAGACAGAAAACATTAAAGGAAATGAACTGACATGAACGATCGCGTGTTAAATTAGTTTTTGAGGTGGCGACACCTGATTGTTACTGTGGCCGTGCTCAGGAGGCAGATCTACCGACCGCGAAAACAGCTGAGCGCTCCCTGCTGTTATCTGTGCATCGGAGGACAAGGTGAAGCGCCCCGCTCCACAGCAGCGATACACATCAGGCGCAAATAAAAGACAGAAAACATTAAAGGAAATGAACCGACATGAACGATCGCGTGTCAGTACCTACGGTCTGGCACTTGAGTTTTACCCCCAAAAAGAGAATGTGATCATACGATAATTCAATAGGGAGCGTGGTGTCACAGACGCGGAAGTGATAGCGTCGGTGAAACGCCGGCTGCTCTAGGAAACCCCCGAGCGTTCGAGCGTCAACGAAGTGACACGGAAATGCCGGGCTTTCCAGAAGTAAGTAAGATAACTTACTATGAGCTGATAGTTCGTTGGATTGATCGGTAGGTTGGAAACTCTGATCGTGAATCTGAAGAAACGATGACTGAGTGGTGAGCTGGAAAGGCGACTTCCGTTTATAGCCGCGGTTTGTGACGTAGGTGCGACGTGAAGGGAATCCCCACGAGGGGCATGCTGGGAGTCCCTACTTCGCGGATTTTCACCTATCGCGGCCAGGTCTGGAACGCATCTACCGCGATAAACGAGGGATTACTGTAGTTCATACACCCCCTACTGCTGCTCTCCAGAGTGTTCTGCAGCATAATCAGCACGTTCTCTTTGAACTTGATAGTGTAATGACCTGGCTGGGGTTGTAAGCCAGGTGCATTCTGGGTATTGTGTTATATGTGTTTCCTATCGTTCTGCTAGTTCCTATGTACTGATTTGCGTGTTGTGAGTGTTATGTAAGCCACAGGGAAGGTGATGTGTGTTCTGTGGAGCGGGTTGAATTAGCATGGTTAACTGACACCGTGACTCTGTGTGGTAGGAGCGTGATAGAGGATGTGTCTGTAGCGTTACAAAGCGTTGTAGAAAAAGCCTAAAAAAGGTCTACGTGAACTTCCACTGCCTCCTGCTGGTTGATTTGGGGTCTAGAACCCTGCCGCTGGGACGCTCGTACTTGCTTGTTACCACATTCCATCCGGCCACAATAAGAGACCGGCCATTATTTACCTCCGCTGACTCCGACACCGGCCAGAATTGGAGACCCGGCCTTTAATTGAATACCGGCCTGTATTAGAGGATTTACGGTATGTATATACGTGTGTATATACGTGTGTATATACGTATGTATATGTATATACGTGTGTATATACGTATGTATGTGTATATACGTGTGTATATACGTATGTATGTGTATATACGTGTGTATATACGTATGTATGTGTATATACGTGTGTATATACGTATGTATGTGTATATACGTGTGTATATACGTATGTATGTGTATATACGTGTGTATATACGTATGTATGTGTATATACGTGTGTATATACGTATGTATGTGTATATACGTGTGTGTATACGTATGTATGTGTATATACGTGTGTGTATACGTATGTATGTGTATATACGTGTGTGTGTATATGTATATACGTGTGTATATACGTGTGTGTATATGTATATACGTGTGTATATACGTGTGTATATGTATATACGTGTGTGTATACGTGTGTATATGTATATACGTGTGTGTATACGTGTGTATATGTATATACGTGTGTGTATACGTGTGTATATGTATATACGTGTGTGTATACGTGTGTATATGTATATACGTGTGTATATACGTGTGTGTATATGTATATATGTGTGTATATACGTGTGTGTATATGTATATACGTGTGTATATACGTGTGTATATACGTGTGTATATACGTGTGTATATACGTATGTGTGTGTATATACATACGTATATATATATATATATAATGTTTGCCTTTAAACATAATACAGAGTTGGTTATTGTTGGAAGCTAAAGTCTCAGTCAAACGATAAATGAATGAAGGTCAACAGGAAAATGTTATATTCAGAGATGTTTGTGTTTTACAGGTACGCAAAGTGGTGATGGACACCATGAAGAACATCCATCCCATTTATAACATCAAGGTAGGTTTAGCTGTCAGCTCGCAGCTCAGAGGGGTTGGTACTCACTGATGAATTCATGTCCGATGATGATTTTCTCCATCCTTGTTCTTGATTTCCTGAAGAAAATAAATCTCTCTGGGTTGTATTAGCCAGGTCTGGCTCGACCCAGAGCTGAGGGCATGAAAAAGACTCATGGGTGAAATTCACATGTTGCAGATCTGATTTAGATTAAAAGCTCAAGCTACCAGAAACAATTCAGGTGCAGCTGCTTCAGGTCTCAGGTGTCCTGCTGCTCGGCCTGGGCGCTGCTCTTTAGGATGAACAGATTTTGCTACTAAATGCTTGTGTTTCAGCATTAATGAGTCATTTTCCCCTTAACTTGTCTAACCACCACTAGACTCTGATGATCAAACGGGAACTCTCCAAAGACCCTGAACTGCGGGCGCAGAGTTGGGAACGCTTCCTGCCTAAGTTTCGCCACAAGAACCTGTCTAAACGTAAAGAACCCAAGAAGAAAAGCGTGAAGAAGGAGTACACGCCGTTCCCTCCTCCACAGCCAGAGAGCAAGGTCAGAAGATGTTGCTCTAACATAATGCTTGTTTATTTTTAACAGCTGTATGTTGTTGTCTTCCAGTCTCATTCTAACAACAAAACAGCAGCACAGAATTATTTTCTGAGGAGTTCTTTTTGAAACACACGCTCTTTAATTCCACGCTGAACCTGCGGTCGTGTTGGCTTCTGTTTCAGGTTGATAAGGAACTGTCCACGGGAGAATTCTTCCTGCGTGAAAGCGTGAAAAGGAGGAAGAAGATGGAGGAAATCAAAGTGAGTATCTGGAGTGAATTCATCTCCATGCTCAAGTGCTGCTGCTAGTGCTAGACAATCCACATTCACCGTTAGAGAAAACACGGACAGAGCACTTGGACATGTATTAAAAACAACCTGATGGACACGAAATTCAAACTTTGAAGCTCAAGTAACATTTTCTCTTAGTGTTTTATTTATTTTTTTACTCTTAGGTTATTGTTTTTGCTGCTACTGTTTACATACCACCCACCTCTGGTCAAAAGCCCTTTTCATCCATGTTTGGTCGAGACGTTTGGCAGGAGCCCTTTGTATACACCGCTGCCTCCCGGGTAACTCCACATCTGAGAGCGTTTAGTCTGCTCGTTATTCTCAAATGTAGGACCTTTCCCACCGGCAAAATGTGTGGAACAAATGGCTCTGCTCCACGCTGAAATTCCACTCTTCCACATAGAAACTACGGATGCACGATATGTCGGCATCGATATCTGTATCGGCCGACGTCAGTCAGATTTATCGGTCCAATAAATAAAAGTGGACCGATTTTAACAACCGATATTTTTTCCATCTTGTTTATCTGCTTCAGAGGATGAGGGGGGTGATGTGTATTTGTTTAGTCATGTGACAGTGACTGTAGTCATCACAGAAGCATAAATGTGTGTGTTGTGTGTACCTAACTACGAAAATTCAGCTTTAATCATTTTCATTCTATACGAAATCGGCTGGTTTTAGAAGCATTAATGTCAGTATATCAGTATCAGCAAATATCTGTAATCGACCATAACAGTGATATTAATATCGGGTATCGGCTCATATCGATGCATCACTGGTAGAAACTTCCTCCACTTAGCTTTGTCTGTCTTCAGCTCGACTCATTTCTCTTTCTAGCTGCTTCATGTTGTCACAGGCCTTACCCGGCTTTGGGAAAGGGATAATAAATGTCCCCTCCGACATCTGATCTGGGTATCGAGAGTCCGATTAGACCTCCCCAACAGTGGTGCTTAGCTCCTTCCTGTTTGAACATATTTAGATGAAAATACAACTTTGAGACGAGTGGGTCGACTGACCCATAGGCACCCGTGCAAAATACATGTTTGCTTGTCTAGGGCTATATCCCACAATACATTATGACAATGCGTCACATTCTATTTTTTACTACCGTAGAATACACTATTTATTATTTAGAACCTCACAACTATTAAATCTCCAAATTCTTTGCAGATGTAACATTTACTTCGTTTCGACGCCCCACCCCAGCTCCGATTTTATTTATTTATTTATTTTTGAGCTCAGGCTGTAAAATAAAAACTGGCTGATACCAGAAGAGCTTTTTAGACTTATTACCTTTAAAATCAATGTGTGTCAGTTTAGTGAAATATAACATGAAAAGGGAGTTTGTACTTCGGGCTCAATGTCGTCAGATCTGAGCTTCAGATGGAAATCTTTTCCCAACATGAGTGACACATGAGTTAATTTTAGACCTTAATCAATATTTAAAATTTTAAAACATGTCAGGTTGCTCTTTTCTTTTCAATAAGATGAAAACCAGCAACAATTGCACAATGAAAGAAAAGGCGGCGGAGGTCTGAAAGGGTCACGGTGTGTGGTTGAAGGGTTAAACATCAACACTGTTAAACTTAAATGGAGCATGTGCAGCTAAAGTAGCAGTTTTTTCTTGTTTTAGAAAGAAATTGAGTTTCCAAACACTGAAAATGTATTTGCAACATTCTGGCAAAGCTTCTGTGAGATCAGAAATTTTAGGCCCAACAATAATGAAAGATTTGCGAATTTGTGATTGTATAAAGGGCAGGTTTCCCAACAATTCAGAAATATTTGGATGTCAAATATAACAATTGTTGCTATTTCAGGTGAAACAAGGAGTCGCTCTGACCAAGAAGCAGGAAGAACGAAACAAAGCGTTCATTCCTCCTAAAGAGAAGCCTTTAATGAAGAAGGCGGCTAAAGGTATGAATAAAAACCCTTATCTGAGATGAAAAACAACAATAACACCACTAACCTCTGTCCTACTCCTGCTGACTGTTCTACAGCGCCTACAGAAGGAAAGCTGGACATCAAGGCCATTAAGGACAAAGTGAAAAAAGCCAAAACGAAGAAACTCGGAGCTCCACCTGTGAACCCATCTCCACCTGCCAGCAGCTCCACAGACAAAAAGAAAAACCAGAAAACAAAAAGCAAAAGCTAACCATATAAGATTTGGTGTTGGTTGGACAGAAGATGGACACAGTTAGCACATGAGGACAGAATCATGGACATTGTGTTAGGATAAAACGGAATGTTCCCCACAAAACTCGCTTTAATCCTTTTTGGGTACAAAGAAGGTTAAAGGTAATGTACAGGGATGCCCAGGTGTTGTTTTTGGACAGTAGTTGTGCTGCAGATTGTTCTATTTTTATGAAATTGCATGTTAACACAAATACTTCTTTAAAAATATAAAATATACCTTTTTTTGCATTGTCTTCAACATAATCACCAACTCTAAAATTATTCTTCCTGAACGGTCATACATTCAGTTCTGTCTAAATGTAGGGATGTCTAGAGGTAGCACTGGTTGCATTTGCCAGTTTTCCTTGTAATAATTCTGCAAGTGTTTACACCATGACTCCTTTTGTGTTCAGAAATGATGCATTTTAAATCTGAAACAAAATTCCTGTGCATTCTGTTGGCACACATGGTGTGTGCTGGGACCATAGAGTGTATATATAAGGTGGATGGAGCCTCCGTGATGCCACCCGTAGGTTTCTGAAGAGCTGAAGTGAAGCCCAGTGGGCGGTTCCCACCACAGCTGTCTTGTCACGCCCACAAAATAAAAAACAATGGGTGAAGAGGTGGAGCTGTGAGGTTGGGGTCACATTACCATTCATCAAACTGATTCGATGTAGCTGTGAGCTAACCCGGGGCAGGTTGGCAGGCGCCTATAGCCAGAAAACCACAGTTGAGCGACTCTGCTACCCTCTCTCTACCTTTTAGGCTGTTACACTTAACCTGAGGCTGAGACCTTCACTAGAGTAAACAGGCCAAGCTGCTAGTGCTGTTAACTCATCTGGCCCCCGTCAATCAAAAGGACACGCCCCCATGTATTCATAAATTTGTGGTTTAATTGCATCTAAACAGAAGAGTTACAAAAGTAATTCGCCCTCTTCAGATTTGTCATGGTAAACTTGACCTATTAAACCGAACATGTTTTTCTGCACTAAACCGTGAACGTGTTCATTTCTGCTGTGAAGCTGGCATTTTTAACATTGGAGTCAATGAGCGCCTTTCTCCAGCCAACCCCTGGTGCAATAGGCGGCCCGCGGGTCACGTCCGAGCCGCAAGCCCTCTCTTTGTGGCCCCCGAACCCCGCGTGCGCACCCCACCACAACGGCCGACCGAGGGGTGTAGGATAGAGCTGAGGAAAATAATCGATGCATCGAGATGCGGGCATAAACGATTCTGCATCATAGAAGAGTACCATAATCAATTATAGTGGAATGTAGTTTTGTTATTTTAATGGTGACACCAGCGTAGCATCCAAATCTGTCAGAATGGGTGTTCTCCACATTTACCAGGTAGGAAACTTTGGTCCGCCTTTATGTGGTATTACAGAGCTGAGCGTAGGAGTTTTAACCTGAGACGGAACCGAATTAGCCTGATCGGTTCTGTTGGATTTGGGCCGTGAATTGTTAATTGAGCGGGTTGTCGTGCGGCACACTCGGCTCAATCAAAGAGAGAGGGAGGATGATCCTCCAAACACGCATTATTTTCATAATATAAGATGTGCAATTAATCTTTCAGCCCTACAATTAAGCATCACATCAGTAGAATACACCTAAAGCTACTTTGTATGTCGGGAAAATCTAGTGGGGCCAAAACACAAATGGAGAATTTTGTTCTTACAAATAATAAACATACATGATAGGAAAGTACAAATGATGCTGCCACACTTGTGGTGTTCTGAAAATATTTTATGGCCCACATTACATCTGTGGGAACTCATCAGCCACTGAGCAGTCCAAGGTACTCTGGGCCATGAAAGCTAGTCATTCTTGCATTGCATAAAAGAAAAGTTGATTCTTGTGGTTAAATCAAATGTTTACCATCATCGCGATCCACCAAAGACCGTCAACATGAAGCCAACAAAAAAGTTGGTAATGTAACAGTATTTTTGCCCATTTCATTGTGACTGGTAGACGGTGCTTAATGTCCATGTGCGTTTTTTAGTTGGGTAACATTAGGGAGCTAATGATCTCGTGGTTATTGTTGTCTAGTCTCTATTCATAGCAGAAGACATTTGGGTAAAAGTAATGGACTCCATAGGCTGCAGCGAATGTTAAAAGGACAGCAATGAGCCGAATAACGAGAATTATCCAGTAGTTGGAGTCTCCTGAGGCTGTGTCCCAGTTTGGAGTCCAGTTGTAGCCTGGAAGCACAAAATGGTTTCCTGAGTAGTTACAAACACATTATTTTAACAGTAGAAAATTGAGGCTTTGGACAAACTCACTTTTCTGTGAATCCCGTTCTTCACTGCCTGCAAAGACAGACGGATGCATGAGAAGTCATGGAGAGTTCCTATTTAGTTTAAATCTGACCATCATCACATATAAATGTTAAAACAGTCTCCTAATTGAACAGACACCAAATAGTTTTGTTGTGCTCTGACACTTAAGTGGCAGCAGAGGCGGACCCAGACGTTCTATTCGCCTGGGGCTTGACCCTGGTTTGTACTCCTTGAGCTCCGCAAAGGAGATACGCACGTGGCACAAGGGAAAGATTTTCACATTCGAACTTCGTTCAGGCAGCAGTGTTGCAAAGCAATTCCTCACCAAGACAACAGAGGGCGTAGCGCTGTTCTGTGGTGTGTGTCTGTCCCTGATAGTTATTTTATTATATATTTAAGCAACATTACAATCATTGAGTTGGTTTACATATATAAAGACCAAAAAAGAATTATGTAAACAGGATACATAGATGATATACTCACTTAGGTAAGCAGCATTTTATTTAAAGAAAAAATATATAAACTAAAATCAAATAATGATTAAAAACAACTACAAATATAGACCATCAAAAACATAGGAATGTAAATGATTGTGTGAATCCTTAATTCATACGCTAGAGGGCGATAAGGCACTACTGACAGAGATTAAACCTAGTACAAGCTTCTAAAGTTTTATTTGCTTTGGGGTTTGCAGAGGATTGAATTGATTGAATGTATAGTTTAAAATCATTTTGGAAAGCAGTAGAGGAGACCGGGGATGGTTGTAACACGGATCAGTTGTAACACTTCCAATCAGGAATCATTTACAAACCATGTGATTCACTCTGCACATGTTCAGTGCAGGGAAAAGGAGTGACCTACAGCACAACCAACAAAATTTAGGAGCAGAAATGACATTTTGATGCCAAAAAGTAACTTTTAAAACTTTTTAGTTTTTGTTACAGCATTGCCTGCTTTGTAGTTAAATCCAATAAACTTAAATCACGTTTCTTGTGTGTTTATGGAGATATATGCTAGTTGTTAGCACAAATGTTTTATGCGTTAGCTGTAATGTAAGCTAGTTGATCACTACAGGGTTCTGGGTTAGTTGTAACAACAGTAGTCTGGGTCAATTGTAACAACCAAGAAAATGTTACAACTTACCCCAACTTAAAACTTTTCTTGTATTTTTATTTCAGCATGCCCAGAAATTGGAAAAGGAAGACTGGCTAAGGGGTGCCTCTCTGCATTCTGGAGAAAGCATCCAATGATGTTAAAAGTCAGGGAAAGTGTATCAGATGAGTGGCAAAAATGTTTTGTATTTGCCATGCCACACTTTACAGACTTTGTCAAGCCAGGAACAGATTAGAAGAGCAAGGATCAAGACAGCTTCAAGGATACTACAGTAGAAAAAAGATCCTCAGTGATGAACAGGAGAAAATGCTGAAAGATAATTTGATGAGGGTTGCTGATGCTTATTATGAACTTTGTCCACGTGAGGTAAGTAGATAGGAACTGATTAAGGATATGTGAGGACAAAGGTAGCATTTTATATTGGCAGTAATATAAGATCGATCCAGGTAGGAACACTGAGGTTTTTTTTTTTTTTTTTTTTTGTGATTTTAATTTACAGGTCAGAGAACTTGCATATCAGCTTGCTGTGAAATATGAGTGCAAACACCCAAAATCATGGGATGAATCTTCCAAAGCTGGAGCAGATTGATTTTCAGCCTATTTGTCATTAAGGAGCGCTGAGGCCACAAGTCTCGCACGGGCCACCAGCTTTAACAAACACAACGTGGAAACATTCTTTTAAAAACTTGATGTGTTAAGGAGGCACAGTTTAACTCCAAATGACATTTGGAACATTGATGAAACTGGCTTGACTACTGTGCAAACCCCTGGCAGAGCGATTGTAAAACATGGCACTAAGCAGGCTGGAGCAAGGAGATCAGCAGAAAGGGGTCACTGGTCTCCATATGCAGTCAACGCTATTGGCAGCACAATTCCACCAATGTTAGGTACTTGAGTGAAGATTAAAATGTGCTTTGACTGTCAAGCTATTGTAAGAATCCTTTATTTATATTGTTACTTCTCACCCCAGGATATGTTACAACTGACCTAGACTATGGGGTGAGTTGTAACATTTTACTCCTTGTGTTTCAGACAAAGCCACATGAGTTCTGTTTGCTCTGCAGAAACAACAGCTACACCATTTAATAACTGACACATGTAGCTAGATTGTGTCACATTTTGAATTTTCAAACTTAAAGGAGTTCCAAGTTACAGATAGAAATGTCAAAACTGTTACAACCATCCCCGGTCTCCCCTAATGCATGGTTTAGTGCCTCTAAATTGACATTTATGAATGTAAAACTTTGCCATAATGATAACTAGATTAACTATAAAAACCGTATCCGTTTGTACATCTGCATAGTCTGTAATGCCAAACAAGACATTTTTCCAATATAAGTGAAAGTCTTCAATTGCATGTTTTGAAATCAAATCACCCATTTGACACCAGAAAGACTGGACATAGGTTTTGTTTCGTTTTATTGAGATCCTCATTAGCTTCTGCCTAAATGCAGATGCTAGTCTTCCTGGGGTCTCGTACATTTTCATACAAATGTTTACATAAGATAATACCCGCACACACATCCCTAATGTTTGTTTATTTGTTTAGCAGGTAATTCACATAATCCCAGTAGCTCAAGATGAAATCACATATCTAGAACAAAATTACATATATAAAATAATATAATATAGGTGCAGCTCCAGAACAGATGTTTCAGGATAATCAGAACAAAAACTGCAACATGCATCAATATCCTTTTGAAACGATAAGTTTCAAGTGTTCAATGGGGCATCTGTTGCCATCCTTACTATCCTACAAGATGATAATGCGACTACCTCTGTGCGAGACCAGGCAGTTGTGTTGGAAGGGGATATTGTGCTGCACAACATTCCAGACCTCTCCACTGCCTTGGCATACCTCTTCTGTATGCCCTCAACATTGATTATCCAAAGCGGATGAGTTATACTTTTGAAGCAACTCAGTCCATCTTCTTTGAGCTTGGTGGGTCTCAATGCTCACAGCGCTTAAGGTCTCTGAAAAAAAAAGCTTTTTCTGTGACTGTTAATGGGAATGCCAGATAAGACTTGTGCTCTTTTGCCTGTTCAAGTGCTTTGTAGCTGGGTCATGTAAAAAAAATAAAATAAAAAAAAAAGCGTAGTTAAACCTCTGGTATGGTCATTCACCTGTTACCAAGAGTTTATTTATTTATTTTGGTCATTAAAAAGAAAGAACACAGTAATACAGAATCTCGATTATAGTAACCAAAAAGGTGTAGGCTGAAGCCTAGCTTTTTATCCTACCCTATTTACTCAATCACATTATTTCTCAAAAAAAAAAAGAAAAAAAAATGACAATAAGATAAAAGTTATGTAATAATAAAAATGACAGTGAGATAAAAATTATAATTATGATAATAACTGAAATATATTGAGCAACACAACCATAATTCAGCTACAGGAAAAATACCCAGAACTAAAGACAGAACTATACAAAACTACCAGTAATCTTAATAAGTCAGTGTATGATAATGATCTAAACAGAGATTTAAATACTATAACTTGTGCAAGAACATAACATTTTCATTCACATCTATCAGATACACTAGCTCACATACGGTCATTATGGTAGTATGACATCGTTGTGCAACTCTGACTTCTAACATTTGTTCTTTCTTTCTGTCTGACAAATTGTCCTTCCCTCCTTAGTTCATACTGCGTTCCTTTGACCTGGAATAGCTTCTGAATACAATCCAGAAATATTTTATTTAGTACTTTATAGAGTACTTGTGCTGTTTGTAGTTTGACCATATCTGTAAATTTAAGTATTTGTAGTTTTATAAACAGGGTGCATGGTAATCAGAGTTGGTATTAATTACTCTTATTGCTCTTTTCTGTAGTAAAACTATGGGTTTTATGTGAGATTTGTGTTTCCCCAGACCTCCAGACAGTACATCATATGAGGAAGTACTAATGATTGGTATAAGAGTAATGATTTTCCATTTAGAATATGTTTTTATTTATTTAACACTGCAATAATTTTAGACATCTTAGTTTTAACATTTTCTATGTGCGGCTTCCAGCTCAGCCTTTGGTGTATTGTGACACCCAAGAATTTAGTTTCACTTACTCTTTCTATTTCTACCCCATTTATTATTAATTTAGGAAGATTGTTTTGTTTTTGTTTTCCAAATATAATGTATTTAGTTTTACTTAGATTTAATGATAATATGTAACTGTCAAACCAGGTCTTTAGTATTTTTAGTTCACTTCCAACCATATTCAATAGTTGTTCTATGTCTTTCCCTGTGATATACATACTGGTATCATCTGCAAAGAGAATGTAGTTCAATTGATTGGTTACTTTATTGATGTCATTTATGTAAAGTGTGAATAACTTGGGTCCTAACACTGAACCTTGAGGTACCCCACAGTACACTTGTTTTGTTGGTGATATTACATTTTGGATTTCTGTGAATTGTTGTCTTCCTGTTAAGTAGCTTTTTAACCAGTTATATGCTGTTCCTCTTACGCCATATTTATATAATTTGGTTAGCAGTATATTGTGATCTATTGTATCAAAGGCTTTCTTAAGATCTAAATAAATTCCTATTGTATTATTTTTATTATCAATTGCTTTAGCTATTTCCTCTACCATGCTAATTGTTGCCATTGTCGTTGATCTTTTTGTTCTGAATCCATACTGGTGCTCAGATTATTTTTTTCAATGAAATCATCCAATCTGCTTACAAATATTTTCTCTGTTATTTTGGAGAACTGAGACAATAGAGAGATTGGCTTGTAGTTGGATGACTGTTTTTTATCACCTGATTTAAATATTGGTATAACTTTTGCAATTTTCATTTTACTGGGGAAAATACCTGTTTTAAATGATTGATTACAAATGTATGCAAACAGTTTTGCAATACATTCTATTATGCTTTTTATTAATGACATGTCAAAACCCTCAGAGTCTTTTGATCTATTGTCTTTACGTCTTTTTACCATACCATACCATACCATTTTATTTTTATTTTTACAGTGGAAATGACTTCTTTTTCATCAGTGTCCTTAATAAACATGGTATTTATATTAGCAGTTATGTGTTCCGTAACATCCATTTCAACTTTGGGTTTTCCTATCTTATTAGCTAGATTGGTCCCGATATTTACAAAATAATCATTTAGTGTTTTGGCAATTTCTCCATGTTCATTTATAGGAATTCCATTTTCACTGGTCAGAGCCTCAATTGGGCTTTTTTTGCTATTGTTATTATGAATAATATTTTTTAATATTTTCCATGTTTCTTGGGTATTATTTTTGTTCATTTGTAGTAATTTGTCATAATATTCCTTTTTACTAGTTCTAATTATAGTTGTTAGTTTGTTTTTATATGATTTGTATCTGTTTTCTGCCTCTTTGGTTCATGTTTTTATGAATAGTTTATATAGTGTATTCTTCTTTTTACAGGCATTTTGTAGCCTCTTTGTCATCCATGGCTTATTATTTTATTGTTGTTTTTGTTCCTAATTGGCCAGTTTTTATTGTATAATTCAAGTATTTTTGTTAAAAAGGTTTCAAATGCTTTACTTGGATCATGCTGCCCGTCAGCGTGACACACTCGTACCCAGCTGCAGTTTTTACCCTACAGTATATTCTCAGTAACATGAGGAAAACATTATTTGAACATTATTTTAATGGGAAATTATTAAACAATGTTAGGAAGCAGGCTGAGATAGCAAACTCAAAGTGCAAAATTAAAAGTGCAAAACTTTAAAACATTTTAATTTCAGTGAAGTCCCTTTTCAATTTTTCTGAATGAACTTTGACTCCTGCACACAGCATAGACATAGAAGAGTAAATGCCGCACCAACCGCTACTGCCTATGTTTGTCCGCATTTGCGGGTTCTACTTTTTATAAACTCTGTGGTTAATAGGATGTTTTAGCTAGGCTTTAGCTCTGAAAAAACTCTGTGGAGATCTGGAGCTAGAACGATGAAAGAACGCATTCATAAACCCTTTCACGCACGCCAGGACGAACGCACCCACTTTTACGTTCATCAGGCAAAATACCAACGAGTTCAGTTCACGTTCACGAAAAAAAGAACAAATTCACGAACGAAGGGGTGACAGAAATAATGCACTGTGCAATTTAAGATTTATTCAACAACATTATGAATGCAATAAGATTGATAAGGCAAACTATCACGAAAGTAAACAAACACATCTAACACCAGGACTGAAATGTTAAGGATTAGAAATCAGGAATTCAGGACTGGTCCAGAATTAAAACAAGATTTCCATGCATCAAAAAAGACCCTGAAAAAGCAGCCTGGGCTTAAGCCCCCCCCCCCCCCCCCCCCTCACTCCGCCCCTGGGTGGCAGCAGAGCACCATACGTAGGTGGAGGAGTTACTGAGGAGTTCTGCTGAGAGATAACTGCCATGCTGTTATTGTCTGTCTTCATTTAATAAAGTTTCTATGAATAAAGTTACTGCTTGCCTTCTACAAACTACAAAACATGCATTTTAAATACTTACGGCAGAGACGGTCTTTACATCTGCCTCTACATCCTGAGCAGGCAGTCCCCACAGAATTGTATGGAGGCCATCCATTCACATTACCACTGTAAAAAAAGCAATGTCTTAGATTGTTTTTTTTTCAATGTTACTCCATAACAAATGTGTTATATTTAATACACCTGTTAAAAAAACTCTTTAGTACTTCACTCAGAAGTCATCATCTGCCATTTGGTGGACAATCGAAGTGCTACAAGTGGCGAGCACCTTTTGTATCTCTCCATCTTCTGTCCTAACTGAGTCCTGGGGCAGCAGCTTTGCAGAAACACTCCCTGTCTCCAGCTCCCTGTTCTAATTCATCCAGAGGGACGGCAAGACGTTCACAGGCCAACTCTGAGATAAAATCTCCACTGAGATCTGGGTAAACCCTGAGGTATCCTTCTTTGGGAGCATGTCTGAAACATTTCCCATAGAAGGTCCCTAGTAAGCATCCTTATTGGTGGCCAGAATGACCTCACCTGACCTTTCAGTGTGGAGGATGTGCTTTAACTCTGTAATGTAGGGTATTCTTGCACACTGAATGAATGTGTCAGTGTGCTCTTCTTACCCTGGTCCATAGTTGCAAACCAAAAGGGCACCCTCACTGGTAGTAAAGTGTTTGACACCATTTGTGCACAGCTGGACAGCACAACCAACCTTATAGCTATCTGCCCAGACAACCTGCAAACAGACAACATTAAGGAAGTCATGGAATGCATTTCTAATTTTAAGTTTTTTCTTATTTCCCAACTTCTTGATCCAAAAGTAAAAAAAACATACCTGCGTGTAATGGCCACAGACATAGGTGCATTTGTTGTTGTTAAAGTTGTAGTCATGACTTTCGTTCACCCAACGTTTTATGGCGTGTTTTGTGTTGAAAGATGATGCCGGGGCACCTGTCCATATGTTTTCTCCAACAGAGTGAAAGGTAGGGTGCACGCTGCGGACATCCTTAAGGTAGATGTTGTGTTTAAACTCACAGCGTCTAGCCCACGCTCTCGCGGTCATAGCCAAACCCTCGTCCCATGTCTAGATCAGCAGAAACAGATCATAGATGCAACAGATTTATTTGTTGTTACACTTTTTTAGACGGTGAACTGGATGACGTGATGTTGACTTTTTAAAAGAAAACCTGAAGATAAAAGGAGATTTAGGGACAATCAAAATAAAAGCTTTTCTCTTTATCTCCCTGGTTGAGAAGCAGTAAAGCTGGTGAAGATGGCTGTAACTGTGGCCTGCACTTAACCTATGACCCCCCAAGGCTGCTATCAGGTATTCATGTTGTTTAGCTTGAGAGACACATTTTATTCTCCCATGTCTCTGACTGAATGCATGACAATAATAATTGAATCCGGAGTTTTGGGTTGAGCATTTGGTTTTCTTGTGCTCCACTTTCAAACGTACTCTAACACAGTTTTAGTAATGTAAGGCAGTATTCCAGTAAGGAGGTCTAGTCTGAGTTTACCCACTTTAAGTCGAGAAACTCAGTTTTACTCCACAGAAAAACTTATTTGTTTGAGTTCAGTCAATTTCGACTATTGTAGCCTTATTTCAAAAGCTACCTCTGATTAAAGTACTACTGCTTCCATATTAGTCACCTTGTTAAAGGTGGACAACCAGATGAGAGAGGACATGTTGAAGCTCAGCATTTCCCAAAGAAAACCTGCTAGTCAGCTGGTCGAGTTTACAGTCTTGGCAACAGATTCAAAGATTCACTTTTTTTTTCCTTCTGTTACAAAAATATTTTGCATCTCTGCTTTTTGAGATTCATCAACACTGATGTCTTATTCTACCCACAATGCATCACAATGATCTCCACCATAAAGTCAGAGGTGCAAACAAAACAGTAGAGGTGCTGAAAAAAATCGATTCAAGTCTGAATCGGGATTCTTATTTATAAAGATTCAGAATCGATTCACAAAGGCTCAGAATCGATTCAAAGAAATCAAATATTTGGCATGTTACAGGTTTGAGATGAACTTTTTTGATCTTTGTTAGGAGAGTCAGTACTCCGTTTACTTTTGTGGTTGCATAAATTGAGATGATTTATGTTTGAAACTGCTGATAAGAGGGCACTTGAATGTAATTTTTTCCATACTCAGAAATTTGAGATATTCTCTTATTTATTTTCCAAGTTGATAAATGAGTACTCAGGATTACTCATGTAACTTGTTTCTACACATACTTGAAAAGTATTTGAAGCTTTCAAAGCTACTGTTAGGTAACTACAGATTTGTTATATTTTACAAGGTAAGCAAAAAAAAAAGTTGCCTTTTGGTCAAAAGATTGTTTCTGTTTAGTTTTAGAATCACTTTATTTTACATGTAAATTAGCATTTTTGGAGCATGACCAGTTTAAAGTCAAATAAGAATGTCCCAGAGCTTTAACTAACTTGTACAACGAAGTAGTTAATCCTGGAGCTGACACTCTTTGTTAATACTGATTGTGAATCTATTTAAATTGAGAATCGAGAATCGATTCTGAATTGAATCGGCACCCCAAGAATCCGAATCGAATCAAATCAAATCGTGAGTTGCTCGATGGTTGCTCCAAGATTCACATCCCTAAAAAACAGCATTGATATGAGAAATGTACTGGAAAAAGAGAAATTTATATTAGACATAAATAAAAGTGGCAAATTATGTTATGTTATGTTGTGTGTTTGTGAAGATTTAAAAAAATCAGGATTTTTTTTTTAGATTGTGAACTTTCTAAACATCCATGGATCAGCTGGTAACATTTAGTTCTAAGCTCTGAACATTTCTAAAAGCCTGTATTGATAGCCAATGATCCCTACAAAGACCCTTTAACTTCAAGGCTACAAAGTGCATATTTCCTTCCTTCAGGATATAAAGCGTTATCTGGATGAGTAAATATGCTGTCCTCTGACATTTCAAAGAGTTGACCATGACTGATGTGGTCACACCACCATTAAAATGATTGTGTGGTGGTTATGGTTTAAAAAGCATCTCAGAGTAAAGTGTGAAACGAAGGTGGTGGACTCAGCTCTAATTATTGTTGCTTTGTTGACAGCGGAGAAGGAACTTCCAGATAACACACAAGCTTATACACACACACTCACCAAAATATCTGATTTCCTGTTGCGTGTTATTTGTTTTCCCTTGATACTGCGGTGAGTTTCCCACAACATAAAGGTGCAATCAAACTGTGGTTAGTGTGGAAGAAGACAGTTTAAAATTTCCACTGAAACACACTAAGCCACAGTTGAAAAGCTCCAAGACATGCATCACATTAACGATCAGAATGCTGACTGAATGTAATGTTAAAATACTTTATTCACTATAGTGAGGCAAGGCAGCTTTATTTGGATAACACATTTCAAACACAAAGGCAATTAAAAGTGCTTTACTGAAGCGAGAACAGCAAACACAGTTAATGAAACATAGAATACCAGTTTTCATCATTATACTTTGTCAAATATCTAATCCCTCACTCAGTTTGAAAGTTCGGTTGAGTTCAACACAAGCTGTGAAAAAAACTACAGATATTTTTATTTGATTGAAGAAATTTGATCGTTTTTTTTTAAACAGAGAAGAAATTCTGCATTAATCTCTAAATGTTACTAGTTTTTTTTTATTAAGCATGTGCAATCGCCAAGGGCTCTTAATGTGAAGAGTCCTTAAATTTTAACTCGTTTTCATAAGTTATAGTTCTATGGCCTATAAAACATGCTCATGTTAAGTTCTTCACACTAAATGGTCTCACAAAATGCAATTTTATTCTTGACATTTTCTGTACCTTCCAGAATGAGCTGTTTCAGGGCTCTGTCTCTTTAAGAAGACTGGCCACACCTCCATTTGGGCTACTATAGGTTGAGAAACTCTGATATCCAGAAGGCGCTCCGAGTAGAGCTGCTGGAGGATAATTTGAGAGCAATCCCCCCCGGCTCCTTTCATATTTCCTAAAACCAATCACTGGCAGAAAACGGATGGATGAGTCTTTTCATGTTTGGTGCATTTCTAGAGGCACTAAGACCCAGGTGACAGAATACAAGGATGCAAAAGGTGAGTTTTGAATAAAGGGAGTCGTGTTTCAGCCGCTGTCAGGATAATAAAGGTGTTAGTTAATCCAGTAAGTTATGTCATTTTGCATTTATGTCAATCATGGACGTAATTTGGGGGGGGGGGGCATGTCCCCCCCACTTTTTCCAAAATCAAGTTTTGACCCCTGCACTTTTTACCATCCAAAAACAATATTACGTTATATGAAATTGACACTGGTTGAGCTCTAGGTCCAAGCAGCAAACAACTGTTTGTGTTGAAGCCTGTTTCCCATTAGAACATACTGTAAAGATGCCCCCCCCCCATACACACACACACACACACTTCTATAGTGAAAATTATGTCCATGATGTCAATACTTGTCTTTATAACCTTAATTTACAACAGTTAAAGGAATGTACCGAGTAAACCACAAGTAAAACAGATAATAAACAAATTCATAAATCTTTGATCTATTGGTAAGAAGTACTTTTTATGTTTTTCTTTTCTTTTCACTTGCAAACACCCAACTTAGTGAATAGTCAATATTGCTTCATATTTAAAACAACAAGCACAAATACGTTTTAACACTACAACAATCTAGCCAAATAGCAAAGAAGTATATTTTCTCCTTTTGACGTGACTTCCTCTTTGCACTTCTGCATTTTAAAACCAATGGACTAAAACCCTTTTCATGCTTATTTAAAAATGAAAATAAATGTCAGTTTATTCGGTTACCCATGGCATTATCGTTATAGTTACAGGTTCCTGGTTGTAGAGCAAAAGGTGAGATAGAGATCTTTAGTGTTTCCTACCATGTGCAGCATGTTGCTTGCAGGTGGACTGACTGCAGACCGCGCTGTGTTGTGTTCTTTCACACAGTCCTCGATAAACTTCTTGTCACTGATTTCTGGCAGCGAGATCGAGCAAACCTCCAAAACCAGAACAATCCAGGCCCACACTAATATCTTCCTTGTCCGCTTCATGCTTCAGTTGTTAAATGTGGCCCGTTGGCATTGATGAAACACAACCGGGCTGACACAGGAAATTACACACTTAGAAGAAACAGGATGTTCTGAATGTGATGTTTTATCTGCATTTTGTTATTGAGACAAATTGAAAGTCTTGGGTGTGTTTGACAACACTGACTGAGTGTAGCTTTAACATAGTTGCTTCAACACATGCTGTGTAGTATAGAAGGAAGAAGTGAAATATGGGACAGTGCAGTTAGACTCAGCTTAGAAAAGCTCTTGTTTTCTGTGATGAAATTGCAGGTTCACTCAGCATTTCCTGATTCCTAGCCTTGGTTAAAGGCTGTGCTTTGGGCTAGAAGCAACAACTCAAATCTGTTTATAATTGAAATATGCATATTGCCTGCATGGCTCCCAACACAAGTTAATCAAGGTGATACTTGACCCAGCAGACTATAATTCATTTACTTTCCCGATTATTTAGTGTTAAAGTCACCATGGTGAGGAACTGAACCCTTAACCCATGACAGTGTCACTGGGGTAACTGACTGGTTTTCTGGTTTATATTTCTGTTTACATAAGTTGTTATTCAGTAAAATATACTATCAACAGGGAAATAATCACAAAACAGTTTTCTCTTCAAAAAACTCAAAATGGACATAGTTACGGTTTACATTCTGTGAGTTTGTGAGGTTGCCGTGTCTCTGGTGAACTAACAGTACTGCGCCGGCATTTGTAATCCGACACTGGCAGGTATAAAGCTCCAGAGTAAACAGGAGCGACCCAGAAGTTATTTCTTGTACCCCTAAGAAGCCACGGCATCCTTTTGTTTTACTCCAATATCAGGTGAAGCTGGATAAAGGCTAAGAGTTGGCTCTAAAATATCTCACGCTATAGTTTTTCAAATACCAACAACTAATGATGAATGACCTGCATTTGTTTTAGAGCCAAAGATTTCAAAGCACTTTACACTACAGTGTATCATTCATCCATTCACACACTGATGATGATGATGATGATGATGATGATGATGATGATGATGATGATGATGAGCTGCATTGTAGCCACTGCTGCCCTGGGGTCCACTGACAGACTGCTGAGCACAGGCACCACCGGTCCCGCTGACCACTACCTGCAGGCAAGATAAGCAGCAGTGAGAGAATAATTGCAGAAACCAAATTTGACCACAGGGTGTCATCCTTATTCCAGTCTTACATATTTCACCTTTAAAGTATACTCATTAAAAGCTTTTAACAACAGTATCTTCTTCTGAAATAGCCCACATGTATGCTCCTGACATTGTCAGTCTTGTCACCTCAAGAATTGACTATTGTAATATACTCCTGTTTCTTCTACCACAAAAGTCATTTCATAAGCTCCTGTGTTACTGTTGCTCCATAAAACCTTAATAAATAAATAGACACCATAAATGAACGATTCCAAATTGTAGCCTAGGTGGTAAAAATATACATCATCTTTAGGTAAGATGGTCATCATTAAACTAGGGTGACCATAAATCCATTTCCAAAAAAGAGGACAGGAGATCTGTACCTACCGATGACGTCACACTAGGCTGGGCGATATGGCCTAAAATCAATATCACGATATATTGAGGATTTCACCTCAATAAAGATAAATGAACGATAACTACAGGTATGCACAGAAACAAAAGTTGTCCACTAGATGGGGCTGTCACATGTATCACGTTGATTCACATTTTTACGTGACTCAAGGTGCTACAGCTTCTTAAAGAGACATAAAAGTTGCCAACCTACACACATATTTTCATTTTTTATTATCAAATTTATTGACATGGGAAAAATGATCTCGATAAGAGTAAGACATTTCGATAACGATATGTTTTAGATTTATTGCCCAGCTCTACATCACACTATGGCAAAACCACGTTGGGACCCATTTTTTCCCCCAGGTGTAAAAGCTAAATTTAATATCAGATTCTTCCAACAAAAAGGCTCTAAAACAATTCATATGTAAATATTTTGCATATTTATTGCAAAATCTCATTTTTCCACAGCTTTAGTGCTGCAATGTTTTATTAATGAGAAATTATTATACATTTTGTTTTACTACAGCATCGGCACACTTCCTGTGTACAGATTATTAAGAATGCTGGCTTCAGCTGTGAGATTAGACGATTGGGTAAATGATTTTAAAAAAGTTTGTCATGGACTCCATGGAAACTTTCAGAGAATCCACAAATGGTATCTTTTAAATGGTTTTGTTAGTGACAGATTTTTGTGAGTTTAGAAAAGAAGCAGATGAGACAGCGTGTCCAACAATTTTGTTTTTCGTCGGACAATATTAGAACATGTCAGTAATGTCTGAAGTGTTTTTACAAACACTGTATAATTAATACTCCTGGACAGGGTAGGACTTACACAGAGACTTCTGGGGGAACCCAGTGATGGGGGGTGTTCCGTTTAGCCTTGGCCCCCAAAATGCCTTGAAACGGCCCTGGGTGTGTGACTGAGATTTGAAGATGATCTGATTCAGATAATCTGAATTGTATCAAATGTATAAATATTACATGTGTATAACTTGTTTTATAAAACGTGTAGTGGAGATACATCTACCTACATTTTACTTTCAACACTGTTTTGTTTTCTTGTTTTTATGTGACTATATCCTGTCCTGCCTGTCTCTCATCTTCCTGCATCTCCTCTAAACTCTCCAGAAAAACTGCTGCCTGGATTCCTACTTTTTCACCTCGTCAGTTACTTTTGAACAGATCAAAGGGATCTCCTGACCGCAAAGCATGGTGCGCGATTCGATGCTGCTTCAGTGAGGTGAAATCACCGCAGCACACGATGAGCGCTATGCATCCTCTCTGCTCAACAGAATCCTGCTATGCTGAGAGTCCATAAATATTGTAATATAGGCAGAAACTGGATCTTTCCCTGAGAGATATCTAGCCACCCATAATTTGGGTTTTCTGCTCTTGGATGAAAAACTGGACATTTTGATCAATGTAGGACCCAAAATCCAGCACCTCTGAGCGCTCCTTCCGTTAGGTGACGCCCCTGATGTGCTACCTTCTCATGATAGTATCTAATAAGAAGGATGGCCATAGGATGAGCATTTGGGATAATGAGTGGATGTTTCTCATCTTTTGTTAGGTTAGAAGGTGCCAATCAACCTCCTAGTCTGAGGAGCCCATCTTCATCAATAACTGGATTTAATCTTTGAAGACAGCTTTGCCTTGGAAGTGGCAGATTTTCTTTTATGCATCTGTACTCTTCTTTAAACGTTTCGTTTTGTACTGTGTGAATGATGAACTTTGCTGCTTTAGACACCTCATCTACAGTGTTAGTTTCACTTAAACACTTCCAGCCTTTACCTTCTGCGTTTGTTTTCTTGAACGATGCTGCCACACGCTTTAGTGAAGCAATAGTGTGACACAATCTCATCCAATGAGAGAATCTTTCAAAACGGCATGGCTCTAGCTGTGTTACTGAGGCTTTGGTAACACAACTTGTTATATCAGGTCTGATCTCTGCATCTGTGTCGGGATCAATCAGTGTGAAACTATCACAGTGAGACTTCTCTGTGTCGTGTTGTGTCAAAAAGGAAGGACCACTGAACCAGTTCGTGGAAACCAATGCAGAAGCTGCAATCGGTCTAGTGGCTGTGTCTGCTGGATTGTCACTAGTGGCTATGTAAAACCACTGTGCTGGATGTGTAGTCTTTCTGATTCCAATCACTCGGTTAGCCACGTAAGTGTAGAACCTCTTTGTGTTGTTGTGTATGTAACCAAGAACGATTTTACTGTCTGTGAAAAATCTGACAGTGTCTACTTCAATGTCAATCTCATCTCTAATGAGTTCGTACATCTCTACAGCTAACACAGCTGCACATAACTCCAATCAGGGAACAGTGTGAGCGGGTCTTCGGGCTGCTTTGGACTTGCCCATGATGAAACCTGTGTGCCACTGACCTTCACCATCAAGAGCTCTCAGATATGCCACTGCTCCTATGGCCATGGTGGAGGCATCTGAGAATATGCACAGTTCTTTTTTCACAGCAATGGCTTGGGAGAACGGTAGGTAGCACCTCGGTATCTGTAGCTGCTCAAGATCCTTCAATGAGCTTCTCCATTTGCTCCATTCCTCTTCTCTTTCTGCAGGAAGCGATTCATCCCAGTCCTTTTGCTCTGAGGTCAATTCACGTAGAAGAGCTTTTCCCTGCATTGTGATGGGTGACACGAAACCCAGCGGGTCATGTAGACTTTTGACAGTGGCCAAGACACCTCTCCTGGTGAACACCTTTTGTTCAGTGGTGACGTGAAAAGTAAAACAGTCATTTTTAAGATTCCACAGTATGCCCAAGCTCCTTTGCAGGGGTATGTCGTCCAACTCTAAATCCAAGTCTTTTAGATCCTTGGCTCTCTCAGCAGCAGGAAACGCTTCCACTACTTTGTGGTCATTAGAGGCTATTTTGTGTAGCCTCAAGTTTGACTGTGCCAGCATCTTTCGAGCACTTGTGAGTGTCTCAACAGCTTCTTCCACCGTTGCTGTGGATGCGAGACCATCATCAACATAAAAATGTCTCATTACAAACTGCTTTGCATCATGTCCGTGCTCTTCTTCTCCCTCGACTGCAGCACGCCTCATACAATAAATAGCTACAGCTGGGGAAGGGCTATTCCCAAAAACATGAACCCTCATTCTATAGTCACAATACCTTTGTCGGGATCGTTAGCTTCATACCAAAGGAATCTCAGATAATCCCTATGATCCGCTCGCACTTCAAAACAATAAAATATTTGTTGCACATCAGCTGAAAATGCTACAAGCTCTTTCCTAAAACGCATAAGGACACCTAGCAGTGTGTTATTTAGGTCGAGTCCACTTAATAAGACTTTGTTAAGGGACTGTCCTTGAAATTCTGCACTTGAGTCAAAGACTACTCTCAGCTGATTAGGTTTTTGTGTGTGGTACACACCGAAGGATGGTAAGTACCAGTGTTCTTTGTTTGAGTCCAAAGGTGGAGCGACTTCTGCGTGATTGTTGTCCAGCATGTTTTGAATGAATTCGATATATTGTCTTTTCATTTCAGGGTTCCGCTCCAGTGGCTTTCTGAGAGATTGGAGGCGCTTGAATGCTT